AAAAAAAAAGGGTTTTGAACCAAGACTAATAAAAGACCATATCTAAAAACAAAGCCAGGAAGTGGCGCTGTGGCTCAAGTGGTAGAGTGCTAGCCTTGAGCTGAAGAGCTGAGGGACAGCGTCCAGGCCGTGGGTACAAGCCCCACGACCCACACATAAAACTGTCAGGGGCTGGAAATGTGGTTTAGTGGTAGCATGCATGAGACTCTGGGTTCAGTTCTTTGATACCACATAAAATTAATTTTAAAAATTGAAGCTAAAGAAAACAAAAACAAACCAGGAGCCCCCGAGCGTTGTTATAACAACGCCTCACTTCGCGCGCCGGGAGGGAACTACACGTCCCATAAGCGCACGCGGCCTCACGGCCCTGGTGTGCAGGCGGGGCTTGGGCGGGCGCGGAGCCAGCTTTTCCTCTTTCCTGCATAGTGATTGGGCCATGGCCCAGAGTGGCGGCCAATGGGTGCTCCCGGAGAGAGCCGTGAGGCCAATATGGCTGCCTGTACCTGGTGACGATTGAAGCTGAATTTGGGTCTCATGGAGAAGCCTCGGAGCCTTGAGGTTAGAGGAAAAGGGTTTACAGCACTGGGAAAGGGAATCGCAAGTCTTACAGGGCGTCCCTCATGTAGGGCTTTGATCGGTGCCATGAGGGGGGCGGCTGGGTGGTTTGGTAAACTGAGGTAGGAAGCTGAGTCAAGGCCAGAGGGGATCGGCCTCTCTTCTTCCTCTCGGTCCCGCGAAGATCCGGGGGAGGAGCGGCCTCCCCGGCCCCAGGAAGGGGAACTGGCTCTCCCATCGAGTCCTCGAGCGCCCTTTGTCTTCCTGTCTGGGGGGTCGCCTTCCTCAAGGATGGGAAGTGAGGGAATGGAAGCTTCTCCACGTGCCCCGACTCCCGCGTCCCCGCCGCGCTCGTGGCCTCCGAGGCCCCAGCAGCGGAGGCTTCGCGCGGTGGTGGACCCCGCCGGAAGTTCCTGAGACCCGGAAGTGAAGGAGGTGTGCGCCCCGCCTGCCTCCAAACACCTTACACCTTTCTCCCCAAGCCTTTTCTAAGCAACAACCTGTGACCCACCCACCGCGAAAGCATTTGGCCCAAGATTCTGTTTTCTTTTTTTAACATGGGTGTAGGTGCGGTTGCAAATATATATTGGAATATAAAGTAAATAGTTCGAAAACTACAAGAGTAATAAAGTGGAAAACAAGATAATAGCTTGCACTTTCAGGCCTGTTATTTGCAGACAACAGAACTAGATATTTTATCTCTGTGTAAAAATTCTTAAGAAGAAACAAAGTAGCAACGCTATCTTGCACCTAAATCATAGAGTTGATAGGCGGTAGAACCCTGGACTCAAACTAGGAAAATTCTATTTTATAAGCCACGTTTTTCAGCCAACATTACCAACGTTTGTTGAGCACTTAACATGTTCAAGTTATTGTCCAAGTACTTGTATCTCTTCTAACTCAAATCCTTGTTTTATGGAGACTGAGGCACTGGTTTACTGCAGGTCACACAAACTAATAAACACTACGGATAGCGTTTGAGCCCAACGCCAAAGTCCCAAACTCTTTGTCGTGCTTCATAACTTTTCACTACAATGTAGCTTTTTTTTTTTTTTTTTTTTTTGTTGTGGGGCTTGAACTCTGCGCCTGGGCCACTGTCCCTCAGCTCTTCAGCTCAAGCAAACACTGTACCACTTGAGCCACAGCGTCACTTCCAGTTTTCTGGTGATTTATTGCAGTCTCTTGGACTTTCCTGCCCCAGCTGGCTTTGAACCTCAATCCTCAGAACCCAGCCTCCTGAATAGCTGGGATTACAGGTGTGAGCCACAGGCACTGGGCACCCAGCTTAGCTGGCTTAGCTTTTTTGTTTTTGTCAGTCGTTTGGCTTGAACTGAGGCTCTGGGTGCTGGTCCTGAACTTTTTCCCCTCAAGGCTCTACCACTGAACCACAGCACCACTTCTGGTTATCTGGTGGCTAATTGGAGTTAAGAGCGACATGGACTTTCCTGCCCAGGCTGGCTTTGACCCACCCACCATCCTCAGATCTCAGCTTCCTAAGTAGCTACTGATTACAGGTATGAGCCACCAGTGCCTGGCTACAATGTAGATTTATTTGCAGTATTACATTTACATCTCACATTATGTGAAGCAAACTTTTATGGATGAGAAAATTGAAGTTAAATGATTTGCCCCAAGAACATGTAGTTAATTAGGATCAGAACTGAATTTAAAGCCTGTGGTACATTCCACTATACCATAATTGTGTGTCATGTGACTCAGTTTCTCATTGGGACAGTTTGGGTCTTTTTTTTTCTTTTTTCTTTTCCATTGGTTGCAGGGCTTGAACTCAGGGCCTGGGCACTGCCCCTGAGCCTCTTTGTGCTCAAGGCTAGCACTCTACCACTTGAACCACAGCGTCATTTCTGGTTTTCTGATGGTTAATTGGAGATACGGGTCTCATGGATATTTCTGCTTAGGCTGGCTTTGAACCCCGATCCTCAGATCTCAGCCTCCTGAGTAGCTAGGATTACAGGTGTAAGCCACCGGCACCTGGCAAGAATGAGGGTTTTTTTTTTTTTTTGTCGGTCGTGGGGCTTGAACTCTGGATACTGTCCCTCAGCTCTTCAGCTAAAGGCTAGCACTCTATCACTTGAGCCACAGTGCCATTTCCGAGAATGAGTTTTTATTTTTTATTATTTTTATTATTTTTTATTGTGAAAATACTGTACAAAGGGGTTACAATTACATGGGCAAAATAATGAGTACATTTCTTATCAAGCATTGTAGCCTCCTCCTTTGTTTCCCCTTCCCATCCCTTCCCATCCTCCTCCTCCCCCACGCCCCCATCCAGAAAACTATCCAGAAAGTCTTTGTGATGCATTTTACTTAGGATCATTTTCACATTGTTATATAGACTTTTGGTCCTTGACTTTCAGGTTTTTTTGTTTTGTTTTTGATTTTTACTTTACAATTGTGTGACAGCAATATACATTTAGTAGAAACTAATTTGTGTTTGGAATTTTGGATTGTTTCAAATCTACCAATATTTCACCGCTTTTGTAGTGCTGTTCAGTGACAGCGAGCAGTGTTTTCCAGTCAAGCTAGACTCTACTATGTACAATGATGCTAAGCTAAAATGTTTGATAGATTTAGTGTCTTAAGTACATTTTCAACTTACAATAACTTTAGCCTGGATAGATTTATCAGACATAACTCCATTGAACGTCATGGATTATCTGTATTTTATTTAATTCATATTAAAATGTCACTTCTAATTTTTTTTTTTTTGTCAGTCATGGGCTTGAACTCTGGGCCTGAGCGCTGTCCCTCAGCTCTTCAGCTAAGTGGTAGGCGAGCGCTCTAACACTTGAGCCACAGCACCACTTCCAGTTTTCTGGTGGTTTACTGGAGATAAGAGTCTCACAGCCTTTCCTGCCTGGGCTGGCTTTGAATTGAGATCCTCAAATCTCAGCCTCCTGAGTAGCTAAGATTACAACTGTGAACCACTATCACCTTGGCTCACTTTTAAATTTATTTATTTATTTATTTATATTTTTTATTTATTTATTTATTTTTGGTCCGGTCATGGGGCCTGAACTCTGGGCCTGGATGCTGTCCCTCAGCTCTTCAGCTCAAGGCAAGCGCTCTACCACTGAGCCACCTTCCCAGCCCTCACTTCTAAATTTATAGAGGAGCTTTGCTATGTATTTTCTGTCTGATGCTATTTTAAGTTAAATTGGAGAAATGATTATAATGTTTGCAAAATGGGTTTTGTGGAGCTGAGCACTACGGATTTGCATCTGTAATTCTAGCTACTCAGCAGGCTGAGATCTGAGAATCGAGGTTTGAAGCCAATTGGGAAAGTCTGTGAGAGTTGTTTCTCCAATTAAGCACCAAAAAAGCTGGAAGTAGAGCTGTGTGGTTCAAGTGGTAGAGCACTAGCCTTGACAAAAAAAAAAAAAGCTATCTGGATGCTGGTGGCTCACATCTATATAAGCCTAGCTACCCAGGAGGCTGAGATCTGAGGATCGAGGTTCAAAGCCAACTCTGGGCAGGAAAGTCTGTGAGACTCTTATCTCTAATACACCGCTGGGAAAAACGGAAATAGTGCTGTGGCTCAAGTGGTCGACCCTGGAGCTGAAGAGCTGAGGGTCAATGCCCAGGCCCAGAGTTCAAGCCCCACACTGACAAAAAATAAAAAAAGAAGAAGCTATTGGAATGTGTCCCAAAAGTATTGACATAGCAAAAGAAGCCGGAAGGGAATTGATAATAGATCTGCAACTTCTTTCTTTATACACTAAAGGCAATCCTGATTCCTTGTACGTGGTCTATGTCACCCACTAGGAGACGCCCTCTTTGGAACCAATGGAAGAAGAAGAGGAAGATGATGACTTGGAGCTGTTTGGTGGCTATGATAGTTTCCGGGGTTATAATAGCAGTGTGGGTAGTGAGAGCAGCTCCTATCTGGAGGAGTCAAGTGAAGCAGAAAATGAGGATCGAGAAGCAGGAGAGCTGCCCACCTCCCCACTACATCTGCTCAGCCCGGGGAATACTCGCTCCTTGGATGGCAGTGGTTCTGAGCCAGGTACCTTCACAGTGTCCTTTGAAGATGGAGTTAAGAGATTATGGAGGAAGAGGCGGGGTGAATACAGGCCAGGTAGACAGTCTTCCGGGTGTAAAAGGCTACTCTGATGTCTAAGGACATGGCCAAAGGGCTCATTTCCTCTTTGGCAATTTGGTAACAAATTGTGATTTCATTCGTGCTTTCATAAACATAATGTTTCTCCAGACCATTTTTTTTGGCGGGAGGTCCGGTCGTGGGGCCTGAACTCTGGGCCTGGGCGCTTTCCCTCAGCTCTTCAGCTCAAGGCTAGTGCTCTACCACTTGAGCCACAGCACCACTTCCGGCTTTTTTCTTTTTGCTTATGTGGTGCTGCGGAATCGAACCCAGGGCCTCATGCATGCAAGGCAAGCGCTCTACCACTGAGCCACCTTCCCAGACCATCCAGACCATTTTGGATACATGGTGCTCTGCTTGAGTAAGCTATGGATTTTTAAGTCTAGATGTGAAAAAGATGGGGACTTAGACACTTCCCTAGAAATATCTCGGGGGTTGGAAGTAAGGGAGCCTGTGGGAGGGCATATAGGATACAGTGATCTCTAGGTAAAAGGATAGGGTAAAAGGGCAGATTGGAATCCCCTTCAATCCCCTGGAAACTACTTGACTTCAGACATAGGATGCTTGGATGTTGCAGGATCCGTGTCAGGCCCTATAGTATGTGGGTCCTTGTGAAAAGAGGCAGACTAGACATCTGCAATGATACCCCATTTTTTGTTAGCTAAACTCTTCCAAAAGTTATGTAATATTCACGTGCAGCTAAATTTCTTTCCCACTCATCTGGGCTTCTTTCTTTCTTTTCATCTTCTTCTCCATTCTATCCAATTCTCTTTGGATCTTAGAATTTTAGATCTACAAGAAATCTAAGAAGCCAGCTCATCCAGAGATTCTCTGTCCTGACTAATCAGAATCTTCTGGGAACTTTTAACAATTCACAGATGTCAGTGACTTCCACAGATTAATTTTTTTCTTTTTCTTTCTTTTTTTTTTTTTTGGGGGGGGGCTGGTCATAGGGCCTGAACTCTGGGCCTGGGTGCTGTCCCTCAGCTCTTCAGCTCAAGGCTAGCGCTCTACCACTTGAGCCACAGCGCCACTTACTGTTTTCTGGTGGTTTACTGGAGATGAGTCTCATGGACTTTCCTTCCTGGGCTGGCTTTGAACCGCGATCCTCAGATCTCAGCCTCCTGAGTAGCTAGGATTACAGGTGTGAGCCACCAGCGCCCGGCTTGGGTGCTGACTTTTAACTCTTCAGTTCAAGGCTAGTGCTCTACCACTTGAGCCACAGCGCCACTTGTGGCTTTTTCTGCTTAACTGGTAGTGAGGAATGGAACCCAGGGCTTCATGTATGCAAGGCAAGCACTCTACCACTGAGCCACCTTCCCAACCCCCAAATATATATATTTTTTCTTTCTCTGATGATCCTGTGTTCTTTACCTTATATATGGTGTGTTCATGTGCATATCTGTGGGGGAGAGGAAGGCACAGAACCCAAGTCAAAAGGGTGAAAAACTGCCTCAGTGGAGCACACTGGACATTGATAAAGTCATGGGTGGAAATGGGAGGGAGGGAATGGGAGCGGGTGAAGGAACAGATGACACTATCTGAAAGGAAATGTACTTACTACCTGATACATGTAACTATAACTTCTCTGTATATCACCTCTATAATAACAATAAAGTTAGATTTTAAAAAATAGGGTTGGGCGAGGTGGGGAGGAGATGGGAAGGGATGGGAAGGGGAAACAAAGGAGGAAGCAACAATGCTTGATAAGAAATGTACTCATTATCTTGCTCATGTAATTGTCCCAATTAAAAAAACCCAAAAAACAAAAAACATAGGAAGGGCTGGGAAGGTGGCTCAGTGGTAGAGTGCTTGCCTTGCATGCATAAGGCCCTGGGTTCCATTCCTAAGTACCACATAAGCAGAAAAAAGCCGGAAATGGTGCTGTGGCTCAAGTGGTAGAGTGCTAGCCTTGAGCTGAAGAGCTCAGGGATAGCGCCCAAGCTCAGAGTTCAGGCCCTACACCTGACTAAATAAATAAATAGGAGTTTGTACCAACCTGTACAACATAGACTGTCTTTAAAACAATAAATAGGGGCTGGGAAGGTGGCTCAGTGGTAGAGCACTTGCCTTGCATGTTTGAGGCCCTGGGTTCGATTCCTCAGCAACATATAAGCAAAAAGAGCTGGGCGCTGGTGGCTCACGCCTGTAATCCTAGCTACTCAGGAGGCTGAGATCTGAGGATCTCGGTTTAAAGCCAGCCCGGGCAGGAAAGACCGTGAGACTTCTCTCTCCAATAAACCACCAGAAAACCAGAAGCTCAAGTGGTAGAGCGCTCGTCTTGAGCTGAAGAGCTGAGGGACAGCGCCCAGGCCCAGAGTTCAAGCCCCACGACCGACCAAAAAAATAAAAATAAAAAAACATATGAGCACAAAGGAAAAAGCTGGAAGTGGCGCTGTGGCTCAACTCGTGGATTGCTAGCCTTGAGTTGAAGAGCTGAGGAACAGTGCCCAGGCCCAGAATTCAGACCCCCTGACCAGACCCCCCCCAAAGAAAAAATAAATAAAATAATAAAACAATAAATAAATAAAGGCCAGGCACATGTAATCCTAACTACTCAGGAGGCCAAGCTCTGAGAATTAAGTTTCAAAGCCATCCCAGGCAGGAAAATCCATGAGACTCTTTCTCTAATTAGTTACCAAAAAAGCCAGAAGTGGAGGTCTGCCTCAAGTGATAGCGCACTAGCACACTAACTTTGAGCACAAAAGCTCAGCGATGGGCCCCAGACCCGAGTTCAAACCCCAGAACCAGCACCAAAAAAAATTTTTGGTTTTCCTTTTTTTTTTAAATCAATACCACCACCTCCTTCTATTTCGATTCTGTCAGCTTTAGTGGGGCCCAGGCTTGCCAATGACTATAGTGCCCTGAGATTAGAAGACCCATCATTTTGCTTGATTTGAGGTAACCGAATGGGGAGTCACGTGCTAAGTTCTCTTCCTAGCTGTCTGTGAGATGTGTGGCATCGTGGGCACAAGGGAAGCTTTCTTCTCCAAGACCAAGAGATTCTGCAGCGTTTCCTGCTCCAGGAGCTACTCTTCCAACTCCAAGAAAGCCAGTATCTTGGCTAGATTACAGGTGAGAGGCAGCACTCAACATCCTTCTGGGAGTCTTGGCTGCTTATTTAGGAACTGACCAACTGTGGCCCATTAAGGTAGATTTCTGGTTATTTGGTTGCTCTCAAACTTGTGGGCAGAGAAATCCATTCCTGGAGCTATTCCTCCAAATTGTTTTGTATTCTGTGTGTGTGTGTATGTGTGTATATGTGTATTGTTTTTTTTTGTTTCTTTTTTTCTGCCAGTCCTGGGGATTGAACTCAAGGCCTGGGCTCTGTCCCTGAGTGTTTCTGTGCTAATGCTCTACCATTTGAGCCACACCACCACTTCCAGCCTTTTCTGTGTATGTGGTACTGAGGAATTGAGCCCAGGTCTTCATGCATGCTAGGCAAGGCACTCTACTACTAAGCCACATTCTCAGCCCCTGTTCTCAATAGTTCTTGAGCAAGAGTTCTATGCTCCAGAGTCTGCTGGAAATAATAGAATATGGCTCAGGGTGCAGGTGGCTCATGCCTGTAATCCTACCTACTCAGGAGGGTAAAATCTGAACTTCAGGGTTCAAGGCCAGTCCAGGCAGGAAAGTGTGACTCTTGTCTCTATCTTATTTCCTGTAAATTACCAAAAAACAAACACCAGAAGAGAAGCTGTGGCTCAAGTGGTAGAGCTAAAGAAACTCAGGGATAGCCCCAAACCCTGAGTTCAAGCCCTTGGACCAGGAAAAAAAAAAGTCATTTGCAGGGAAATGGATGGACCTAGAAAAAATAACTTTTTTTTTTTTGGGCGGGGTGGTGGTGTCAGTCATGAGGCTTGAACTTTAGACCTGGGCGCTGTCCCTCAGCTCTTCAGCTGAAGGCTCTCTCTCTACCACTTGAGCAACAATGCCACTTCCGGTTTTCTGGTGGTTTATTGGAGATAAGAGTCTCACAGACTTTCTTGCCTGGGCTGGGTTTGAACTGTGATCCTCAGATCTCAGACTCCTGAGTAGCTAGGATGACAGGCGTGAGCCACAGGTGCCTGGCATATCTTTTCTTCCTTCTAGGGAAAGCCACCCACCAAGAAAGCCAAAGTCCTGCACAAGGCTGCCTGGTCTGCCAAAATTGGAGCCTTCCTTCACTCTCAAGGGACAGGGCAGCTAGCAGATGGGACACCAACAGGACAAGATGGTAAGGATAGCAGAAAGCTGGGTTGAGGTCAGTTAGCATTATCCCCACCTCTAGTCCTCAGCTCCACCCAACCTGAGCTCCTCCCTGCACTAGAGTTCCTCCCATACAGCTGGCCCCTCCCTCTCCCCACCCAGTCCCACCTGCGCATGCGCCTACCTCACTGCCAGCCCTAGAGCTACCTGCCAAATGGATGGGGACATACACCATATGCTCCCCCTCCCCGGAGATAAGATCCCTCTAATAAGCCTTATAATAATATTTCTTCTGTGCCTGCCAGCCTGCCTGCCTCTGTGTGGTCCCCTGGGGTGGTTGTGAAGGATTATAACAGGGTCCAGAGCAAGATGGCTTCCCTAGGTTTGAAGACTGAAAAACATAGTGTGATAGAAAGTGCTGGTGTGGCTGGGTATCGGTAGCTCACGCCTGTAATCCTAGCTACACAAGAGGCAGAGATCTGAGGATGGTGGTTCAAAGCCAGCCTGGGCAGGAAAGTCCGTGAGACTCTCATCTACAATAAACCACCAGAAAACTGGAAGTGGTGCTGTGGCTCCAGTGGCAGAGCGCTCGCCTTGAGCTGAAGACCCACTACTAACAAAATAAAAGAAAGTGCTGGTGTGGCTGCACACCCGTGGCTCACACCTGTAACCCTAGCTTCTCAGGAGGCTGAGTTTTGAGGATCGCAGTTCAAAGCCAGCCCTTACAGAAAAGGCCCCATGAGACTCTTATCTCCAATTAACACTCAAAAACCTGAAGTAGTTGTGCTCGCTTCGGCAGCACATATACTAAAAAACAAAAACAAAAAACAAAACAACAAAAAAAAAACGGAAGTAGCTCTGTGGTTCATGTGGTAGAGCGCTAGCCTTGAGCACAAAGAGGCTCAGGGATGGCGCCCAGGCCCTGAGTTCTAGCCCTGTAAACCCACCCCCCACCCCCCACCCAAAGTGCTGGTGAGTATTTCATTTCACCTCCTGACCTGCTGGGTCTCACAGAAAGAACCTCCGAATCCCATGCCAGGCCCCTACCCTGGATGATTCACAAAGCAGGAATTTCCTGTTTTGTTTCTCTGTTGTTTTTCCTGTGGCTTCTCTGTCCCTGGCCTAGGGGCCCAGGAACTGTGGAGGGATGGCCAGGAGAGGAAACTTCCCTTTTTCTGAGTGTAACAGTCTTCTGAGCAAATTAAGTGTAAGCCCAGAGCAACAACCATTGAGTAGGTGTGAGTTGCAGCTCTGGCTGCTCTTCTGGTCTCAGGAGCAGTGGAGGGCTACCTGGCGCACCTGGGTGTGGCCAATGAGGGGGTGGGGGAGGTCTGAGGAATTTTAAGTCTTGGGTCCGTTGAATTTCCATTTCTTTGGTTGCTGGGAAAGGGAGGAGCAAAGTTGCCTGGGAATGTTTCTCTACTCCTAATGGTGTGGTGGCCTTGCTGCAGCCCTCACTGCTGTAATGGCTGCCGACAAGGCTGGTATGGCGGTGGGCGGTTGGTCAGGCTCGGGAAAGGGAGGTGCCTCCGCCACCCTGACAGGGTCCCGAAGCTTCAACTCTTCCTCTGCTTTGCAGCTCTGGTTTTGGGGTTTGACTGGGGGAAGTTCCTGAAGGATCACAGTTACAAGGCTGCACCTGTCAGCTGCTTTAAACACGTGAGTGGCTCGGCCTGGGGGAGGGGGGCACCACTAGGTATGGTGGGAGTCACTAGGTATGCTTATTTCTGCCCAGGCTGGCTTTGGACTGAGGTCCTCAGCTCTTAACCTTCCATGGAGTTAGGATTACAGGCGTGAGCCACCAGCACCTGGCTTCCTTTTTTTTTTCCTCTCCGGTGCTAGGCATTGAATCTTTGCTTGTGTACTGCCTTGGGCCTCTGCTCCAGGAGCAATCTAGAAAACTTGTAGAACCCAGCAGGGGGTTCTCTGCTAGCTTTCCTAGAGAGGACCCTGCCAGGTCCTGCTGGGATGGGTGGGATGCCTAGAGTCTTGTCTGGTTTTGTCTTTCAATCCGATTTCCTGAAGCCCTGGGAGGGGTGGCCTGCAGGTTGGGGTAGGGGGAGGCATGCATGGGCACATACCAGTGCCTGGACTTGAACTCAGAGCATCAGTGAATTTTCTTATTCTAGTAAGAGTAAGAATTACTAAAGGCATGTTACCTTTGGGAGTAAGAGCCTCTTTTTTTTTTTTTTTGGTTGATTGTGGGGCTTGAACTCTAGGCCTGGGCACTGTCCCTGAGCTCTTCAGCTCAAGGCAAACACTCAAACAATTGAGTCACAGCAGCACAGAGGTTAATTGGAGATAAGAGTCTCAGGCACTTTCTTGCTTGGGCTGGCTTTGAACTGTGATCCTCAGATCTCAGCCTCCATAGCAGCTAGGATTACATGCATGAGCCACTGGCGCCCAGATTTTTTTTTTTTTAATCTTTAAATCAGTGTTAGCATCTTCATTCTGGGGGACTTAGGTTGTATTCACATTAACACAAGTTTCCTGAGCTCTGTCAGGCTGTCTTCGGGCTACCTTAATTAGGCTGGGGCTAAAAATGAAAGCAAGAGCTTTGTGCTGCAGTTGGCTCATGCCTGCAATCCTAGCTACTCAGGTGGCTGAGATCTGAAGATCACGGTTCAAAGGCAGTCCAGGCAGAAAAGTGAGACTATTACCAATAAACTACTCAGAAGACAACAGAAATGGTGCTATGGCTCAAGTGGTAGAGCACTAGCCTTGAGCAAAAGGAGGTCAGGGGCAATATCCAGGCCTAGAGTTCAAGCCTCAGGACTGACACACACGCACACACACAAAAAAAGAATGAAAGTAGGAAAAACTTTTTTTTTTTTAGCAGACATGGGACTTGAACTCTGGGCCTAGACGCTGTCCCTCAGCTCTTCAGCTCAAGGCTAGTGCTCTACCACTTGAGCCACAGAGCCACTTCAGGTTTTCTGGTGGTTTATTGGAGATAGGAGTCTCATGGTCTTTCCTGCCCAGGCTGGCTTTGAACCGCGATCCTCAGATCTCAGCCTCCTGAGTAGCTAGGATGACAGGCGTGAACCACCAGCGCCCGGCAGGAAAAACTTTCCTAAAGGAGGATCAGAGTCCTCTTGACCAAAAAGTGAGGAGAGGGCTCCAAGGAGGTAGCTGGAAGCAGCCGGTGCCACCACAGAGGAGTGGAGAGAGGATGTGCTGGGGTGGCATGTGGTTGGCAGCTTTGTAAATTAAGAGGTCATAATAGCCACGTTGGGTGCTGAGAATGATGTCTAGCACAGAGTGAGCACTAGAAAATGGTACTGTTGCACAAATGAGTACAGCAACAGGGATTAGGGATTTGCCAAATTGTGGTCAAGATGATACAGTTAGAAGTTGACTGAATTTCCACCCATCATCTTTCCTGCTTCCCATCTTCCATTGCAGTTCAGCATTTCAGACAGTGGACACGCCTCCTTCATCTCTAGTCCCCAGTGTGTCTCTGTGAAATGTTGAGGTGAAGGATCTGACATGAAGACTCACTTTGCCTTTGAATGCTCTTGTTGACACACAGGTCCCACTCTACGAGCAGTGGGAGGATGTCATGAAGGGGATGAAGGTGGAAGTGCTCAACAGTGATGCCGTGCTCCCCAGCCGGGTGTACTGGATCGCCTCTGTCATACAGACAGCAGGTGGGTGTCTCTCCGGCCAGGGCAGGGGTCTATACACTGCCATCTCTGGACAGTGGGCAGTGTCAAAGCCGGGCACTGGTGGCTCACGCCTAATCCTAGCTACTTAAGAGTCTTGAGATCTGAGCATCAGAGTTCAAAGCCAGCCCAGGCAGGAAAGTCTTTGAGACTCTTCTCTCCAATTAAACACCAAAAGCTGGAAGTGGAGATGTGGCTCAGGTTGCAGAGGGCTAGCCTTGAGCACAAATGCTCAGGGACAGGGGCTGAGAATGTGGCTTTGTAGTAGAGTGCTTGCCTAGCATGCATGAAGTACATGAAGCACTGGGTTTGATTCCTCAGTACCATATAAACTGAAAAACCTGGAAGTGGCGCTGTGGCTCAAGTGGTAGAACTCTTGCCTTGAGTATAGAGAGGCTCAAGGACAATACCCGGCCCTGAGTTCAAACTCCCAGAACTGGGGGAGGGGGACCCAAAAAACAAAAAACTGAGTTCAAGCCCAGGACAGACACCAAAAAAGTCTTGGATTTGTGTGTCTGGGCTGGCTTCCTGACTTGATCCTCAGATATGTCTTTTTTTTTTTTTGGTCAGTGGTGGGGCTTAAACTCTGGGCCTAGGCACTGTCCCTCAGCTCTTCAGCTTAAGGCTAGCGCTCTACCACTTGAGCTACAGTGCCACTTCCGGTTTTCTGATAGTTAATTGGAGATAAGAGTCTCATGCCTGCCTGGGCTGGCTTTGAACCTCAATTCTAAGATCTCAGCCTCCTGAGTAACTAGGATTACAGGTGTGAGCCACTGGCACCCAGCTCAGATCTGTCTCTTGAGCAGCTAGGATTATAGGCACAAGCTACTGACACCTGGCTGAAAGCTCCAGTTTACTTTTCTTTTTTTTTGGTCCGGTCGTGGGGCCTGAACTCTGGACCTGGGCGCTGTCCCTCAGCTCTTCAGCTCAAGGCTAGTGCGCTACCACTTGAGCCACAGCGCCACTTCCAGCTTTTTTCTTTTTGCTTATGTGGTGCTGAGGATTGAACCCAGGGCTTCATGCATGCAAGGCAAGCGCTTTACCACTGAGCCACCTTCCCAGCCCCCAATTTACTTTTTTTTTAGGATTATTCCTGGGGTGATCAGAGTATAGAAAATACATCTCACCACTATACCATAATAATTTCCAAATAACAGTCTGCATTTGTTTTGTTGAGTGTAAGGGAGATCACACTTGCCTGGCAGGAATTTTCAGAGTAGGAAGTAGGAGGGTGGGCTTAGGCTAGAGAAGAGGGAAGACCTGGGCCCATAACCCTTCCCATCCTCCCTCTCATACACCCTTTTCCTTCCTTTCAGGGTATCGGGTGCTGCTTCGGTATGAAGGCTTTGAAAATGATGCCAGCCATGACTTCTGGTGCAACCTGGGCACAGTGGATGTCCATCCCATTGGCTGGTGCGCCATCAACAGCAAGATCCTGGTGCCTCCACGCAGTGAGTTGGGAACTCTACTTGTCCTGGGTCCTGTAGGTCCCTGGGTAGGGGAGGAGCCCTCTGTCTTGACCCAGACAGAAGAGAACCTGCTTGCCCCCTTCGTCCCCTTCCTTATCTTTGAGGCCTGGGAACATCCAGCCTATGGAGCCTGGTATGATAAGATGAAGCCATTGCTAGCCTAAAATGGCAGAAGTCAGTGGTTCTAGCCCCTCTTTGGATCTCTATGTCAGTCTGTAACCAGGATTCTGCTGGTGTCTCCTCAGCCATTCATGCCAAGTTTACTGATTGGAAGGGTTACCTCATGAAGCGCTTGGTGGGCTCCAGGACACTTCCAGTGGATTTCCATATCAAGGTTTGAAAGGAGCTCTTTGGAGTCCCTACTGATCCTCTCTCCTTCTGTCCTCCTCTCCCTCCCTGCTTTTTTTTTTTTTTTTGTCATTTGTAGGGCTTCAACTCTGGGCCTGGGCGCCGTCCCTCAGCTCTTCAGCTCAAGGTGAGCGCTCTACCACTTGAGCCACAACGCTACTTCCGGTTTTCTGGTGCTTTATTGGAGATAAGAGTCTCATGGACTTTCCTGCCCAGGCTGCCTTTGAACCACAATCTTCAGATCTCAGCCTCTTGAGTAGCTAGGATTACAGGCATGAGCTACCTGCGCCCAGCCTGTAGGCTGTCTTTGAACTGGGATCCTCAAGGCCTAGAACCAGCAAAAGGGTGAAAAAAATGATTGTGATTCAAAGCCAGCTCAGGCAGGAAAGGCTGTGAGATTCTTTTTTTCTTTTGTCCATTGTGGGGCTTGAACTCTGGGCCTGGGCGCTGTCCCTCAGCTCTTCAGCTCAAGGCGAGTGCTCTACCACTTGAACCACAGCGCCACTTACTGTTTTCTGGTGGTTTACTGGAGATGAGTCTCATGGACTTTCCTTCCTGGGCTGGCTTTGAGCTGTGATCCTCAGATCTCAGCCTCTTGAGTAGCTAGGATTCCAGGTATGAGCCACTGGCACACAGCTGCTTCTGTGAGATTCTTTTTTTTTTTTTTTTTTTGTCGGTCATGGGGCTTGAACTCTGGGCTTGGGCGCTGTCCCTGCGCTCTTGAGCTCAAGGCGAGCGCTCTACCCCTTGAGCCACAGCGCCACTTCTGGTTTTCTAGTGGCTTATTAGAGATAAGAGTCTCATGGTGGGGCTGGGAAGGTGGCTCAGTGGGAGAGTGCTTGCCTTGCATGCCTGAGGCCCTGGGTTCGATTCCTCAGCACCACATAAGCAGAAAAAGCTGGAAGTGGTGCTGTGGCTCAAGTGGTAGAGCGCTAGCCTTGAGCTGAAGAGCTGAGGGATAGTGCTCAGGCCCAGAGTTCAGGCCCCACAACCATCAAAAAAAAAAGAGTCTCATGGTCTTTTCTGCCCAGGCTGGCTTTGAACTGTGATCCTCAGATCTCGGCTCCTAAGTAGATAGGATTACAGGCGGAGCCACCACCGCCCGGCTTCTGTGAGATTCTTAACCACCAAAAAGCCAGAAGTAGGGGCTAGGAAGGTGGCTTAGTGGTAGAGTACTTGCTTTGCATCCATGAGGCCCTGGGTTCGATTCCTCAGCACCACATAAGCAGGAAAAAAAAGCCGGAAGTGGCGCTGTGGCTCAAGTGATAGAGTGCTAGCCTTGAGCTGAAGAGCTGAGGGACAGTGCCCAGGCCCAGAGTTTAGGCCCCACGACCGGACCCCCTTCCCCTCCCCCCCAAAAAAAGCCAGAAGTAGAGCTGTGGTTCAAATAGTAGAGCACTAGCCTTGAGTACAAAAGCTCAGGGACAGCACCAAGTTTCTGAGTTCAAGCCCCAGGACCAGCACACACAAAAGAACACAGGAATGCAGTGGGAGGAGTTGCGTCGCAGCGCTGTGATGCTCTTTGCAGCAGGCCTGTGTGCAATATCGTTGCAGATGGTGGAGAGCATGAAGTACCCCTTTCGGCAGGGCATGCGCCTTGAAGTTGTGGACAAGGCCCAGGTGTCCCGGACCCGCATGGCTGTGGTGGACACAGTCATCGGGGGCCGCCTGCGGCTCCTCTACGAGGACGGCGACAGTGACGATGACTTCTGGTGCCACATGTGGAGCCCCTTGATTCACCCTGTGGGCTGGTCACGGCGTGTCGGCCACGGCATCAAGATGTCAGGTTAGCAGAGTCCTGGGCCAGCGTGGCACCCCACGCCATGTTTCCCTAGGGCTTGGCAGGCACACTTGCCCTGTACCCCACAGGAGTAGGAGACTGCCATCTCGGTCCCCTGGGGACAGTCCCTGCCGTCCACACAGGCTGAGTGACTTGACTTCATTCAGCTCTACTTGGAAGTGGTAGAACCCGGATTTGAACCTAGAAGCTAGTATCCTCAATGCCTGAGTCTCACGGGCTCTCCCAGCTCCAATAGTGCGGTGGCTCCCGCCTGTCATCCCAGCTGCCCAGGAGGCTGAGATCTGAAGATCCCAGTTTAAAGCAAGCCCAGTCAGGCAAGTCCGTGAGATTCTAATCTCCAATTAACCAGCAAAAGGCTCCAAAAGAGAAGTAGCTCAAGTGGTAAAGTGCCAGCCTGAAGCAAAAAAGCCAAGGGAGAGCACTCAGGACCTGAGTTTAAGTTCCAGGATTGGCGCCAAAATCCCCTCCCTTCAAACCCAAAAGCTCCTGTGGGGAGTGCTGGGTGTGTTCTGGGCCGCCCAGCACAGGAAGACCCTGCAATGCAGCCCCTAGCTGATGCGGGGCACACCCTCTGTTCTGAGCGCCCCGCCCCTTCACGGCCTTCAGTCCTTTACTCTTTGTCCCTCCCTCTGCTATGTCAAGAGCGGCGAAGCGACATGGCACATCATCCCACCTTCCGGAAAATCTACTGTGATGCTGTTCCTTACCTGTTCAAGAAGGTGAGCTGTAGGCCAGGGTGCTCTTCCCTGCGCCCTCCTTCATTCAGGGCTCAATGCGCCTGGCTTCTCCCCGGGACTGTCCTCTCTCCTTGTTCCTTTCCCGTATCACCCGCTTCCCCCACCTCTCCCTCAGCCTTCCCCAACCTCCCTCTTCCTTTAAGGTACGCGCAGTGTACACAGAAGGCGGCTGGTTCAAGGAGGGGATGAAGCTGGAGGCCATTGACCCCCTGAATTTAGGCAACATCTGTGTGGCAACCATCTGCAAGGTGAGCCTGGGCCCCCTGCCCTCTCCACGTGGCTCATGGCACACAGCTCTGCAGTTTACTCTTGGGGTCTGACCCTCTCCTGTGGTACCCAGATTGGCAGGAGGGGAGGGGCCTTACCTGCCCTTTGCTTAGGACGTGCCTTCCTGTCAGGGTCTGAGTCACCATTGACACACACACACACTGCTCGCCCGAGCCTGGTCCTGCCCTGGTGACGGGCAGAGCCTGCCATGCCAGGCTTACCATGGGCTTCCCGCCACTTGCTTCTCCTTTGCCAGCTGGCCTGTCCCACAGCCCCACCCACTGGTGGCTTAAGAAGCAGCTACTGCCTGGTACTGATGGTTTACGCCTATAATCATGGCTACTCAGGAGGCTGAGATCTGAGGATCATGGTTCAAATCCAGCCCAGGCAGGAAAGACTGTGAGACTCTTTTTTTTTTTTTTTGGTCCGGTCGTGGGGCCTGAACTCTGGGCCTGGGCGCTGTCCCTCTGCTCTTCAGCTCAAGGCTAGCGCTCTACCACTTGAGCCACAGCCCCACTTCCGGCTTTTTTCTTTTTGCTTACGTGGTGCTGAGGAATTGAACTCAGGGCCTCAGGCATGCAAGGCAAGCGCTCTACCACTGAGCCACCTTCCCAGCCCCTGTGAGACTCTTATCTCCAATAAACCACGAGAAAACTGGAAGTGGCGCTGTGGCTCAAGTGGTAGAGCGCTCACGTTGAGCTGAAGAGCTGAGGGACAGCGCCCAGGCCCAGAGTTCAAGCCCCACCACTGACAAAAAAAAAACGCAAACACGTGGCTACTTGCCTCAGCCTGCTAGAGGACACCAATGATGGCTGGGAAGTTGGCTCAGTGGTAGAGCGCTTGCCTTGCATGCTTGAGGCCCTGGGTTCGATTCCTCAGCACCACATAAGAAAAAAAAAAAAAAAAAAGGACACGAATGATTGTCCAGCCAGCCTGCCCCAGGCTGCCCCCTGCCCCATGGTCTCCCCACTAAGAACACAGAGGCAGCAGGACACCCAGCCTGCCGTCCAGTGTGCAGGGTGCTGTGCGGCGCGGCAGAGCTCGCTCTCCAGTGACGATCCACCTCCCGTCCCCGCCTGGCTTCCTCGCTGCGGAGGAGCTGAGCTCACGACATGACCCTTCCGCCTCGTGCCTTCCACTAGGTTCTCCTCGACGGCTACCTCATGATCTGCGTGGACGGGGGCCCCTCCACGGATGGCTCCGACTGGTTCTGTTACCACGCCTCCTCCCACGCCATCTTCCCCGCCAACTTCTGTCAAAAGAATGACATTGAGCTCACCACCCCTAAAGGTGAGGCCCGAGGCTGGGGCGCGTGGAGACTGCGTGGGGCAGTGGGGCATGGCCGGAGCTCAGCGCTCGCTCCTCCGCAAGCAGCCTGCGCAGCAGCCCGGTGATCTAGAGCCATCCCAGGCTGGGTCCTGATCAAGCTGCACTGGCTTTTCCAGAACATGCTCCTTTTCCCTGACTCACGTCGTACCCCCACTTCCCTTTCTTTTCTGCTCCTCTAGGCTACGATCCCCAGACTTTCAACTGGGACACGTATTTGGAGAAGACCAAGTCAAAAGCGGCTCCATCGCGACTCTTCAACATGGTGAGGCGGCTCCAGGGAGGCGGCCCCTTGGTACCATCATGGGCATCGCACCCACGATGCTGCTTCCTTCTCCACAGAGGGGCTTGGAAGGGCCTTGGGGGTCACTGTCTGGGGCACTCTTCCCCAACCCTTTTCCAGCAGCCTCCACCCTCCAGGAGAGCCAGATTACAATGGATTACAATGCCAGCTGGCCTGATAGCTGCCTTCTGCCCTCCCCACAGGACTGTCCCAACCATGGCTTCAAGGTGGGCATGAAGCTGGAGGCCGTGGATCTGATGGAGCCTCGGCTTATCTGTGTGGCCACCGTGAAACGAGTTGTGCACCGGCTCCTTAGCATCCACTTTGATGGCTGGGACAGCGAGTATGACCAGTGGGTGGACTGCGAATCCCCGGATATCTACCCTGTTGGTTGGTGTGAGCTCACAGGCTACCAGCTCCAGCCACCCGTGGCCACAGGTCAGGCCCTCCTGTCTCCAAGGGGCTCTTTCTTCCCTTTGCTTCCTACCTTGTTCTTTCCTGCCTACTGCTTCCCCTCCCTGTGCCCAGCCCAGTCATCTGGTATGATTGACAAGTCTCCGGGCCCTTCTAAGCAGAGTGCCACATGCTCCCGACCTCCCTCTCCCTGTGGCCTGCAGAGCACCTTCCTTCATTTTGTCCACACTGTCATATGCCCGAGCCCCTGAGCACCCAGTGAGCCGCCCAGGCCCGCCCTCAGCCCCCCACGTCCCGTGTTCTTGCTTCTCCTGTGTGTGCAGGCAGGGCTCTCGGTGTGTGCCTGTGACCTAGAACTCTCCTTCCTCTTATCCTTGTCTCTCCACTGTAGAACCATCCACCCCTCTGAAAGCCAAAGAGGCTACGAAGAAGAAGAAGAAGCAGCTTGGGAAGAAAAGTAAGTGAGGCCCCAGGAGCCGGGGCGCGGCCCGCAGACGCCTGGCTCTGGGGCCCCTCCCCCTCCCTGTCCTTTGGCCCCTTGCGCCTTTCATCCAATGTCTTTGGGGACCCAGAACGTGTAAATAGGGCATTCAAGCCCTGCCAGTGTTGAGGATGCTGAGGAGAAAGGACCAGAGACTGTTTGAGAGGGAAAGGATGCAGCCACCTCTGGCTAAGGTTACGGCGTAGAGACCTCTTCCTTCCTGTAGGTGGCCACATAGCCAGGTCTCAAGACTCCACCTGGTTTTGGGGTGCAGCCTAAGCAGATAGATCCTGAGGCCAGTGTGGTGCTCTCGGTTGGCAGGATGGAGAGGGACAGGGCAAGGTGCCCAAGCTGCCCAGGTGAAGTCTGTGATGACCAGGCGGCCGCTGTGGCCTGCAGCATGTGGAAAAGAGGACGTCGTGAGATGGGGCGGGGCGGGCGGGGTGGGCAGGGGCGGGGCGGGCAGAGTTAAGATCATGTGAGGGGACAGCGTGGGTTGTGGGAGTCCAGATACCCTTCAGAGTGAGGGAGCCAATCAGAGAGCAGAAGGGAAATCTAACCACAGTGACCCTGATCCTCAGCGTAGGGAAAGGTGGGGTTTTGCGACTTCCTATGGGATTCCTGTCCTGATCTGGGGCCCACTCCCTGGGAGGACCTCCCTGAGCTGGGGCCCTCAGCTGACGCTGAGGTGGGGTGGAGGCTCAGTCCAGACTCCCGCGTCCCCTCTGCTGTGTCCCTGTGGGTGACAGCAGCCCTTGTTGGGTCAGATCCAGCTCTAATGCTGGTTTGAATCCGTTTTTATTCAAAGGGAAAAGAATTCTACAGACCAAACCCCGGCCCCTCAGACAGGGCTCCAAGAAGCCCCTGTTGGATGACGAGCTGCAGGCCGCAGGCGCGATCTCGTCACAGGCCGTTCCTGACGACAGTAAGCGCCGCCATGCTGGGCTGAGACAGGCCCGCTGCTCCACGCTCCGAGGCTGTCTCCTTCCCCTCCTGGGCACAAAAGAGGAGGGTCAAATTGGAAGGGCATTTTCTGGGCGCCAAGCAATCCTTGAACCCATGAGCCTGGAGAGTCTCCTAAAACCCTTCCTTGGGGCTGAGAGTATGGCTTAGTGGTAGAGAGCTTGCCTAGCATGATTCCTCAGGACCACATAACCAGAAAAAGCCGGACGTGGTGCTGTGGCTCAAGTGGTAGAGCGCTAGCCTTCAGCAAAAAGCAGCTCAGGGACAGTACCCAGGCCCTGAGTTCAAGCCCCAGGACTGACAAAACAACAACAACCAAAACACTTCCCCTCCAGCTCTGAACAGAGCAGAGTCCTCCAGCCAGTGTCTGCCCAGCCTGGCTGGCTGGGCTACACCGCAGTCCCAATCTTTCTTTGCTACTGCCTGGGAGGGAGGGCGGGCAGAGGTGGTCTCCTAGCTCTGCCGCCTCCTGAGGGTCCCATCGCAGGAATCCAGCACCTTTGCCTCGTTCCTGGACCCCCACCCTGTCCCTGGTCCCCACACTCACTCCCTGCTGTCCTGCCCCTCCCTGCAGTCATCACGGTGTGTGTGAAGGAAGAGCACGTAGACGCAGCCTCGCCCGACAAGGCTTCGGAACCTGAGCTTCCTGTCCCCGTCAAGAGCATCAAGCAGGAGACCGACAGCTGAGCTCCACCGCCAGCCTGGCCCCTTGCTGGAAGCGGACGGGGCCTGGCTCCCTGCTGCCACCCACACACACACTCGAGTCTGCTCCCAGAGCCTGTGTGGTGTGTGGAGGCCACATGTGGTAAAGGACCTGCCTCTGCCAGCTCATGACCGCGCGGCCCGGGGCCCCACCCGTCCAAGCGATCCTCCTGCAGCCTGAGCCCCCCAAAGCGGTCACACTGGCCGCACCCTCTCTGCTGCACCCTCTACACAGGGCTGAGACAAGATGGTATGGGATTTGCTTGTGTACGTGTCCAAGCAGATGCCCAGCGTGGAGGCCCGTGCCCGGCTCTGTCAGGACGCAGGCGTCCGGGCGTCCAGTCACTGCAGCCTGAGCATTCTGGGGGCAGGAGCAGGTTCTTGGGGACGGAGTTGCTCTGAGCAAGGTCCCTTGGCCAACCCCAGGGAAGCCTGGGAGCAGCCTCTGCCTGCCCCGCTCTCCTCAGGGCCTGGTCCCCCGCGGCGGTGGGGAATGAGGCAGCGGTTGGATGACCGGGCAGTGGCCATCTTTCTTTGTTGGTGTGGGCACAGACTCCTGTTCCCTAAAGGGGGCGCTGCAAAGGCCCAGGGGGCTCCTGGCAGACGGTGTGAGGGACCAGGCCAGGCTGTATGCAGCTCAGCCATGTGCCGTGAGGGTCCCCAGCTGAATCTAACCTGCTTGAGTTAGACCTGATGGTTAGCCTAGGTGGGTTAGGTATGGCCTTCATCCAGGTCTGGCCAACATGGTGGCAGGAGTTTCCTGCTTTTCCACAGAGCTTTCTTAGGTGAGGTGAGTGGAAAGCGGAACAGGTTCGCTGCCTGGCTCACGTTTCCTTACTATCCAGGTCCCCTTAGCGCCTCATTTTCCTCTCCCCCTGCTCTCTAGAAGTTCCATGTCAGCTACTTTCCTCGGTCTCCCGGTCTCCCTTGATACACTGACCATCCGTCTCTCCCGTAACTTCCGGGAAATCAGGGTAGAGCCCGCTGCAGCCTTAGCCCCGTTCCTCCTCTAGCTCCCGTGGCCCCTCAAGCCCTAGTGCAGGCTCGTGCATCGGGCTGCCGGTCGCTGCTCACCAACACGTGCTGACCGCGCTTTCTCCGGGTGCGGCTGGCCCTGAGACGAGATGCAGGTATCCAGCCCTCCCAGCCTGGATATTTGGGGCAGTGTGTTAGCCTCCTCTGCAGAAAGTTCCAGGCATCTAGCCCCCACACTCTACACCCAAGGTACAAACCCAGCCTACAAAGGGACCCTTGACAGCCAGAGTTCCTCAAAATGTAATCCATTCAGCGATGGAAGACTACGGGAGCTAGCGGAGTCCCAGTTCCAAGAGACTATGCTTTTCCCTTCCTTCTGTGCACACACCAGTCTGAGACTGGTGGCCGCAGCCTCCAGACCAGGATCCTGGACAGGAGGTAGCTGGGGATGTGCTCTCCTCCCCGCTGAAGAACCCACTGCCTCAGCTTCGGTAGCAGCGAAGGGATGGTTCTGATGGACGCTTCTGGAAAAACGTGTGTGTGTGTGTGCGTGCCTGTGTGTGTGTGTGATTGGGCTTTTGTTTCTTCCTGAAGGTAGAAGGTAAGAAGCCTGCACAAAATCCCATGCTCAGAAGCCATTGTGGTCCTTGCTGGCTCCCCGTCTCCTTGTATGAGACAGTCCCTTCCTGTTAAAGTCCAGTCTGTCAGCGTTGATACCTTGTAGAATGCATTCTGACGGGAGTTAACTACAGAAGGCATGGCAATAAAGATGGTCACTCGTCACTGCTTGAGTGCCCTGTCCTATGCTGTCCTTTGGCTTCCAGAATTCCCCTCCCCGAAGCTATGAGGTTCCCAGGGGTGGGGCCCACGTCTTATGTGCTTGGTGCCCACTTCAGACTTGGCACAAAGCATGGTGAGTATTAGAAAAAAGTGTACTGGTTAAGAAACCATTACTAGCCGGGTGCTGGTGGCTCACGCCTGTAATCCTAGCTACTCAGGAAGCTGAGATCTGAGGATCGCGGTTCAAAGCCAGCCCGGGCAGGAGAGACCGTGAGACTCCTATCTCCAATAAACCACCAGAAAACCGGAAGTGGTGCTGTGGCTCAAGTGGTAGAGCGCTCGCCTTGAGCTGAAGAGCTGAGGGACAGCGCCCAGGCCCAGAGTTCAAGTCCCACGACCGACAAAAAACAAAAAACGTTACTGTGCCTACAGGTGAGGTGTGGTGTTGTTTGAGACTACGGTCTCACTGTGTAACCCATGCTGGCCTCCAGCGTCTTCCCTGCCAGAGCCTCCCACACATACTTGTCCTCACCCAACTGAAATTTAATTGGTCACAGCTGCAAGTATTGATCTCAAGCTCAGAGTGAACTTTGTACTTCAGAGGTCATTGGGTCTCAACGGCTGCACCAATGGTTGAGATCCTAAAGGTCTTCCACACTGGGCACTTCCTCTACCCGAGGCCATCCAGTGACTGATACAAACCCAGCGAAAGCCCAGCACAGCAGCGAGCCGCCCTGTGCCTCAGCCATTTAGCGACCCAAGCTAGATTTGGGCTTGAGGTAAGGGGAGCAGGACAACAGCCATGTGTAACGCCTCCTGCACCGGACGCAGACTGCATCCAAGGTTGTATGTCCACCTCCACCATGATCCTGGGAGATCTTTTTCTTTTTGGTTATGGGGCCTGAACTCAGGGCTGTCCCTGAGCTTTTTCACTCAAGGCCTGGGGTGATACAGAGAGGCTCACCCAGCTGCGGACTGCTGTGATACCTGGCAGGAAGCTGGTGCCGGTGAGTGCTGAGCTGGTATTGCCTCTGTCACCATTAGTGCCAGTTCTAGCTTCTAAAGCAGGATTTGTTCATCTGCAGCGTGGGATTTTTTTTTGTGTGTGTGGGGGGCCGTCGTGGGGCCTAAACTCTGGGCCTGGGCGCTGTCCCTCAGCTCTTCAGCTCAAGGCTAGGACTCTACCACTTGAGCCACAGCGCCACTAATGGCTTTTTTTCTTTTTGCTTATGTGGGCTGAGGAATCGAACCCAGGGCCTCAGGTATGCAGGGCAAGTGCTCTACCACTGAGCCACCTTCCCAGCCCTGGGATTTTTTTTTTCTTGGTCAGTTGTAAGTCCTGAACTCAGGGCCTAAGCACTGTCCCTGAGCCTCTTTGTGCTCAAGGCTAGTGTTCTATCACTTGAGCCACAGCTCCACTCTGGTTTTTGAGTGATTAATTGGAGATAAGTGTCTCACAGGGACCTTTCTGCCCAGGGCACCTTGGAACCATGATCTTCAGCTCTCAGCCTCCTGAGTAGCTAGGATTACAGGCAAGAGTCACTGGCGCCAGGCAGACTGGGGTCTTTTTAGGGGTTCCTTCCTCACACCCAGATTACCTGCACAAAGAACAGTTATGGTTTTGACTTGTGTTTCGCCTAAAATGTATGTTGGAATCACAATCCCCCAGTTAACTTGGAATCTGACCTCATTTGAATATAGGGGCTTCACAGAGGTGAGGAAGTAAGGTTATGCAGTCAGACCCTACTTCAATGCAGCTCATGTCTGTGAAACAGGAAATCTGCAGATGGAGATAGAAGGAAGCCAGATACTGGTGGCTCACGCCTGTCATCCTAGCTACTCAGGAGGCTGAGATCTGAGGATCGAGGTTCAAAGGCAGCCTGGGCAGGAAACTCCGTGACTCTTAACCTCCAATAAACCACTACAAAACCGGAAGTGGCGCTGTGGCTCAGCTGAAGAGCTGAAGGACAGCGCTCAGACCGAGAGTTCAAGCCCCACAACTGACAAAAAAAAAAGGAAATAGAAGGAAGCTGATACAAAGAGGCACAAAACTCCTGAAGGAGGCATGCTGGGATTATGCCACCTTTCGCCACCAGAGGCAGAGACAGGATGATCCTCTGCCTGGGCTGGAAAGTCCTCATGAGACTCATCTCCAATTAACCAACAGAAAACTGGAAGTGGCGCTGTGGCTCAAGTGGTAGAGTGCTAGCCTTTAGCTGAAGGGACAGCACCCAGGCCCAGAGTTCAAGCTCACAACGGACAAAAAGAAAAAAGAAAGTTCTGCTCTCTGGAGACTTTGGGAGCTGGCCCACGTCCCACAGGGCTAACCTTGTCTGCACTTCAGTGTCTTCTCTTGATGCCGGTTCTCCTGGCACTGGATCTAGAGGCTGGTGTCCGCTTGGCCTTCCTGGCAGTCCAGCCTGGGCAGGCTTCGAACACAGCGGCTGCAGCCTTCACCCTCTGGCCACGAACACTGGGTGGAGTGGCACAAGTAGCCCCTACCCGCAGGTTCAGCCCAGTGAGCCACCTGAGGAGGAAACAGAACTTGGGGAACCCACTGGGGGATAGGTGAATGAGAACTTGAGGGGCAGGTCACGGGCTATGGGCAGTGGGGCAGAGGATCTATGGCCCATCATGTCACCTCACAGCTCAGCACCCTCTCCATAAGGAGGAGATGAGCAAAGTAACACTTACAGGGGTCTTACCACGTTCCACCTCCTCACACCAGTTATATGTGCTAACTCTAAACTGCATTCTTCCAGTCACGGGAAGATACAATCATTCTCCCTTTTCAGAGAAGGGCACCAAGAGCTATGTAACTTTACTTGGTAGTCTGCATGCAGGTCTGCCTGACTCCACAGTTCATATTGCTTGTTTGCTTGCTTGCTTTTTTTTTTTTCTTATGAAATTATTGAAAATATCTGCAAATATTTCTTAGGACTCAGCCTATTAGGCAGGCAAATATTCCAACTTTATAAATGAAGAAATCAAGGCTCAGAGAAGCAGGATACCAGTGGCTCATGCCTATAATCCTGGCTTCTGAGGAAGCTGGAATCTGAGGATCACAATTTGAAGCCAGCCTGGGCAGGAAAATTTGTGAGACTCTTATCTCCAATTAATCAGTAAAAGTGCTGGAAGTAGAACTGTAACTCAAGTGCACAGCACCAGCCTTGAGCAAATAAATAAATAAACAAAACTAAAGGATGGCTGGGAATGTGGATTTGAGGATCATGGTTCAAAGCCAGCCCAGTCAGGAAAGTCCATGAGACTTTTTTTTTGTCAGTTGTGGGGCTTGAACTCTGGGCCTGAGTGCTCTCCCTCAGTTCTTCAGCTTAAGGCTAGTGCTCTACCACTTGAGCTACAGCGCCACTTCCGGTTTTCTGGCGGTTTATTGGAGATAAGAGTTTCACAAACTTTCCTGCCTGGGCTGGCTTTGAACCTCGATCCTCAGATCTCAGCCTCCGGATAGCTAGGATTACAGGTGTGAGCCACCAGCGCCCAGCCGTGAGACTCTTATCTCCAATTAACTACCAGAAAGCTGGAAGTGGTGCTGTAGCTCAAGTGGTAGAGTGCTCACCATGAGCTGAAAAGCTCAGGGACAGCGCCCAGGCCCAGAGTTCAAGCCCAGTGTTGCCAAAAAAAGAAAAAAGAAAAAGAGAGGGGACTCAGAGAAGTCCACCCCAGGAAGGCAACTGACCTGGCGGGAACTCGTTCATGCCTGGCTCCCATGCTGGTCAATGGGATAGCAACATGGGCCCCCAGGGAGATGGTGGGTCCTTGCTGACAGCAGTGGGTGATTTCAGCTGGCCCTCAGGGGTGTCTACCTGTGCAGGGGGAGCAGCTGGCAGTCGCAATGGAGGGGATTTCCGCTGAGGTCAATGAGCTCCAGCTGGCTGAGATTGGGCAGGGCAGGCAGGACTCGAAGTTGGTTCTTCTGCAGGTACAGGCTCTGGAGCCCTGGACCCAGGCCGGAGAAGGCCCTTGGAGATATCTGCAAGGAAGTTCAGGGCTTGGTGTTAGCTTCTGACAGGCTGGCTGGGCCAGGTCTGAGAGAGAGATCCATCTCCCCTAGGAGAAGAGGACAAGGTGAGGAGTCTGAAGTGGCCCAGGCAGGAAGGGCAATGCTGGGGTCAAAACCCAGGCTGCTCTCATCTCCAAGACACCCAATGCCCAGTTCATCGTTTTTTTTCCTGCTCCGTCTGAACTCCACCTCTACAGATTCTCTTGGGCGCTCTCAGCAGTTGGTTGCTGCTCAGGCCCAAATAAACTCCCCCCTCCCTCTCCCATGCTCCAACAGGGCCTCCCCTCCTTCCCGGCTGCCCTTCACTGTGTGGCTCTGGATTCCATCTGCTCTGTCGTCCACACCCGTGCCCTCTAAAGGCAAGAAAAGTGTGTGCTTTATCTCAGGATGTCCATACACAGCCTAAAACCTGGCACCGATGGGCGATGAATGCATGCATGTCTCCGCTGGCTTTACGTTTCGCTCTCTGCCGCCCAGCCAGCGCCCACCTGCTCCAGGCCACTGCTGTTGAGAAAGAGGTGCTGCAGGGACCTGCCCAGAGGCTCGAAGGCGCCATCTTGCAGGGCCCTGAGTGGGTTCCCTGACAGCTGCAGCTCCAGGAGGGCAGGCAGCCCCTCCAAGGCCCGAGTGGGCACCTCTCGCAGCTGGTTCCCATCGAGATACAGCTTCTCCAGCTCCCGAGCCGGCCCTAGCGCCCCAGGAGCCACTTGGGTGATGCGATTTCCACTCAGGTGGAGCCAGCGCAGGGCTCGAGCCGCGGCCAGGTCTCCAGGGGCGAGGCGGTCCACCACGTTGTCCTGCAGGTGCAGGGAGAAGAGGTTGGGCAGGGCGCTCAGGGCGGCCCCTGGCACCTGCTGGAAGCGATTGCGCTCCAAGTACAGGTAGCCGAGGCGGGGGGCCCCTTCAAGGGCCGCCGCACTAAGCCCCGAGAGCTGGTTGTCGGAGAGGTAGAGGTAGAGCAGACGATCGAGGCCCGCCAAAGCCCCGGCCTGCAGCTCGGCCACGCCGCAGTGCTGCAGGTGCAGCGACAGCAGGTGGTGCAGGCCGGGGAAGGCGGCGCGGGGCACCGAGGGGAAGTGGTTCTGCCGCAGGTCCAGGAGCTCAGTGCCGTCGGGGAAGCCTCGGGG